GACTTTCATATTCCTGTTACTTCGCATGGTATCTGTATGACCTCTGATTTAAAGTTGCGCGAGTCAAGTCAAGCAGAAATCCCATAATAAGAATTTTTAATAGAAAGTTTTGCAGACGGAATCACTACCGCATATTGGGTAAAATGGTCAGTCATTACTAGTATGATAGCATCATGTATGAGATAATCCATACATAATAACATAGATTGGGCTGTTTGTATGTTTACCAAGGTACAGTCACTTGTGGCGAGTAAATCTTAATCACAATTCTTAATCTTATTTTCTAAAAAAACAATTTGTAGTGAACTTAACCTTTCTATGGTGCAGAATCTCATCCTTGAAACCTAACTGATCCTATTGCCTGAGTTGAATTCCGACACAAGGGTTCTCATATATCTGTAAATCAGCTTTTGGTGCTTGGCCCTGCTCTCAGTATACCAATCTTCGGTTCTTTTTTCTGCAACTTTTGCCATTCCATTATGGTAACTGTGGCTAGTTATACTTTCCTGGAGTAGGTGGTGGATTCACTGAACTATCCAGAATGACCTGAATAATACAGCTGAGTGTCCACCAATAAGGTATGATGCCGTGACACATGGCTTTCACTCCTGGTATGCATACCATCGCTGTCTCTCTCTAGATAACTGAACTGATAATCTGCGGTCATGCTTCTAATATCTGATTCTCAAACATCATAGGACAATGGATTGTTATCTGATAAATCGGGGAATTTGTTGCCATACAAATAATCATAGAACTGTGTGGTTACCCATGTTGATACTAGGAATTCCAGTAGTTTTACTCCATAGGTGTCACATACATAGCTACTATTCCCCTCTCCTTGATATAAAACGGCTCGTAATCCTGTAAAACTTGCATCTGTGTAGTTCAAATGGTTGTCTATAATCTGGAGAGGCGAAGTAATTCTGGCGTCCCCTCTAATGCTCTGGTTTTCTCAGGGTCGGTCTCAATACCTTGATCTGTTACCATATATCCCAAATATTTTTTGTTACAGCAGCTGT